CAAGTAGTTTCGTGTTCTATTTCGGCTAATTCTTTACTTCAGTGGGGCCACCATAAGTTTAAATTTGTATTAACAATCAAAGTGCTTCTTCCGAAAAACCTTAGAAAGTTAGATCCTTCTAATCTAGTACAATATTAGCACAGTGGGTTAACACCCAAGTCTCCCTTTCAAATATGATAGGATTCAATGCCTACAACTTCACGTTTAAAATTATATACTGCCAATAAAATCTATTAAATATTTTTAAAAATTGATGACAAATATTTTATTATATTATGAACAACTCTGGGTTCAAAAGCCTTCCATACATTAAATATTAATTTTCCTGCTCAATTTTCCTAACATTTACTTTTCTCTACGAAATCGATTCGTTATCTTGAGTATAAAAATTTTAATACAATAAAAAACCAATGTTATTAGGAAGGTAGCCAAAGTGGAAGAAGAATCAAATCTGTCACAATTAACTTTTGATTCCACATTTATCGTAATTCTGGAATGAAAGGTTAGACGTATTGAAAGCAGCTAAACATATTAATAAATACAAAATCTTTGGAAGTATTAATGTTGGATATAACGTTGAGTGAATTAAAGAATGGAGCACCAATAAGCTTAAACCTAGATCTAGATAAGTTTGGATAGCGACGCAATAGTTGTTAACGCCGGTAAATATGTTCTTTAAGAATTTCGACAGAACAAACGCATCATAAATCCATGTAGTTTTATAATTCAGTGCGAACTGACACTGTGTAAAATACTGCTACCTCAATTCTCTGGATAAGGTCAAAAGTTTTATATTTCATAGATGTAGGCCGTATCGCCCTCAACTTGGCTGTTAAAAAAATACTAGACAACTTCATATTTGCACATCGTGAAAACTGATCATGTGCCAGTATTTCTCCCTGATTGGCAGGTATAGAAAGGTAAGAAGAAAGAAAGGTAAGAAAGATAAGAAAGGCGTTATTGAAGAGGTACCGGAATTTACTAACTGACTAGAGTGCTCATTCTTCACTGTTATGACACCCTAACCAAAGTTATACTGAAACTGCTATCTAAGTTACACATCTCTAAAACAGTTTTGATAGCTGGCAATCTGTCTACAAGATTGCCAAGAATATTGACTTTGAATTGGAAGCGAATGGATGGTGAAAACTTCTTTTGGTGCGAAGTAGCATATGTTATAAATTAACAAATCCCTACGTCAATCGAGTACACTTCGGCCTCTGTACTTATATTCTTCTTTTCCTACTTGCCAATAATCTCTTCTGGGATTTCTGATGACAAAACAATTATCAAAGAATAATCGAAGACATACGTAATCTGCTTTATCACAACTACTACTTGGATAAGCTGAGATAATTTTACTCTGTCTTATTAACATTAAGTGTTTAATCTTTAAGTTCTTAAGTTTTTAAGTGAGCGCGCTAGAGCGCCAAATTGAATGTTACTGAGCAACCTTTACAATATTAATTGAACCAAGTACTGGCCGGAAGTCTCCAAGATTTGATAAAATTTTTACAGCTTTTTAGATACCCCGTATTTTCCTAGAACAGTTAAAAACCCTACTACGTGAGATTGCAATTGGAAAAATTTTGAGAAAGTATATGTCTTATCTTAATAAGATAATCCTTTTTGAGAAGAACTAATGTTGGGTCTGCTTGAATGTAATACCAATCCCCATAAAAAGTATCGCACTTGAATTTCTACAATGTATCAAACGACCCAACTTCACAAACTTTAACACACACTTAAGATATCGATTCACAGTTAATGTAGGGTGTACCAATAAAAATTAAAAAAAAATGGGTTTAATTAATATTAGTTTTAGACAGGCAATCTGATTAATTCTTCACCTTGATTGACAACACACAAGCACCGAAATTGAATTTATGTGCCACAGAAATAGACAACATTATTGCCTACTTCAGTACAACCAATGCGAATCAGACAATATTTATTCCAAGCACACTTTACCGGACTGTTTGTGAGCGCTACGTGTACCTAGTGCCATACTCTCCGAATCCGCCTTGTTGAGTTATTTAAATTTTTTTTTTCGATTTCATTTGCAGAAAACTAATATTCCAGACGCTTCTTAAACGCATCAAACAAATCGATTTAAATAAAAATCGAAAGTATTTTCATGCCTCGATTTGCCGTGACTACCGCGTGATTACGACTGCGATGTGACGGACTTCCGGTACCGGCAATAGAGCCATTATCAATTTTTATTTGCAAAAAATTTGTATGTGGCAAAATTTTTGATTATTGACAGATATTTTTATAACGCAAGTTCATTGCCAACCGATGAAGTCATACAAAAAATGTGATTTAGTCGCTTTGACATGGAAATCGATCGCAAGGTGCAAGCATTGCTGTTGGATATCGTCCAAGTGCGTGGTTTTTTGCAGTTTGAGTGATCGATTGCGTGAGAAAAATATTTTTAAAAAGAAAATCTTAAATTTTCTTGTCAAGAATTTTGGATTACATAGTTTTGAATTTAATATGCACTCTTCTATCCAAAACGTCTATAAATATGTGTCAATGGCAAAAAGTTTATAAAGTAAAATGTTTTTAGTCCAGTCCTAAATGCTGATTACATGTGGTTACCTAACAGGTAGCCATGTAGTCATTATACCTATGGCAACAGACATGAATAGATTGAAACTACTACTTTCTTTTGTTAGGAAAGTCTCTATAGCTGCAGTGTTTTGTAATAGTTTTTTTCCCAGAATTGGTTAGATATGTGGTGGCATTCTCTGAATGTCAGTTACTTTCAGTTATTGCTATAATTTTATGCTTAAGGCATGTATTGGACTTTAATATAAAGTAGACCAAAGCCGGGTGAGGAATAAGTAGAGAAGAGTTAACTTCATAATTATTAAATCACAGTGTGAATGAAAACAAATTTTATAATAAGTAAATTCAAGAAATCTGTTCAAACTTACTAAGAATAATTTTGAAATCAGACTTCTTTTGTTTGTGACCGCCACTTATATAAGCGAGTTAAGATCTATGGATGCGGACTGCTGAGACATAATCTAAACGGTAGACTTACGAAAAACAAAGTTATAATTCAACAATGAAGACTTGAAATGGTGGCAATTTATAAATAACAAATATGAATCCTTCCTTCTCAGGTGTGCAGCAATCTATCCAATAATGCATGAATATTAGTCCCTAGACGGGCATTTTATTTTGATGCAAGGAAAAAAATAAAACCCTTTGTTAAATTTCGTTCCATTTTTCGTTCTCTTATAACATTCGAGAATACATTTTATAAATATTAATATTTTATCTTATTCTGTTACTTGAGTTTTTGACTTTAAGTACTCAGATTCCAGCATGTGGACTGTTAGTACTGTACCTACCAGAGACAATAAGATTGACGTTTGCTTTTGGATTACTTAGTGCGAGATTTGATTGAATATACGAACTTTTAATATATTTCATCCTTTATACAATATTTAACGTTTTCGGATCTAAATTTTTTATGGATATAATTATTTTTTACAAACCAACAAGTTTTTAGACATTTTAAACATTCTAGTAGATTTGGGGTACTTTAATAAAAAAATTACTATTAATAAATAATAGTACTATAGTGAACTACTCACTATTAATGAACATTTATAATTTAGTATTTATTTCGTAGCAGATATATTTGTTTGTCATATGTTAATATTGTTAATGTCCTTTTAAGAGACTTGATTATTCTTTCCGCTCAAAAAAAAATATTCACACAAAAAATTTTTAAACCAAATTTTTTAGAAGTTTTGTTGTTATTTTTTATTAGTTGTTATCAAACTAAATAGAAAATTTATGTTGAACAGAAAAAAAATTGCAAAAGTTCTTATTCAAATAAAATTGGGCTGCTTATTACTAGTATTTATTTAAAGAAATGCATGCGCCACCTATTGATTAAAAATGAATTTATGTGATATAACAGCGCCTCTAGTTGTCAAAATACATTAACGTCAAAATAGTTAAATATTTTCTATAGAAAATATGCAAAACAAGCTTTTACCATATACTTACATAAGTTCTCAATATTTAAATAATTGTTAAATCTTTTTAAACAAATGTTCAGTTTAAATTTTGAAATAATTTAAAAATAATTTGGGTGTTGTAAAATATATATTATTACGAATTAATACTGTATACAGATATACAAAGAGCATTAAGGTTTTATTTTTCAATAGTTTTTACACTGAAAAATGTAAAAATTTTTATTGATGATTTAGAAATTAAGGTCGTGTGCGAGTTAGGCTAAGTTGCGTTCTAAATGAGGGCAATTCTAAGTTGTGCCGATAATGTAGTGATGTGTTGGTACGTGTTGTTAAATGGCTAAATGTGTGCAGTGCAAAAAATCCCAAAAAATTTCCCATTTGGTTTAGCATCAACTTAGCCTAACTCGCACACGTCCTAAAATTATTATTGACTAAATATCGATTTTGTGAAAATAGAATAATTATTTCTAAATATATTAATTTAAATATTATTGATTAATTATTAATTGATAGAAAGAAAACTGATTTTGAGTATTTGCATAGGAATTATATGCATTAAAAAGATTTAAGAGTAGATAGGTATAATTCAACGAAACTTTGCATTTGTTTCTACTAATGCTTTCTTTATTTAAGAGAATAATACATTCATTTTTATTACATTTTTACTTATATCTTGTCCCGATAAATGTTTTTGAGAAATATTTTCTTTGACTTATTTCGTAAAAACTTTGTTTTATAGTTTTTATGAATTTTAAACAAGTTATGCAAGTTCAATTAGATTTCTTTTAGTTTTTAAAATACCTTGTAAGCTACAAAATAATTAACAAAAAGAAAATATATGATTGTTTTTTTCTTTTCCAATGTGTACTGCTTTTATAAATAATTTATTTATGTTCTTGCAAATATAATTACTTTATTCATTTCTGTACATTTGTTAAAATAAAGTTGGCAACACTAAGCACTTGACAGTTATCGATTATGCAGTGCTGCTGCGCCTTTCATAGTTTTCAGAAGTATGATAGTGTGTAAGCGATAGAGTTCCGCGTTGGTTATAAATAAATAACTTCGATTATTAAATATATCAAATTTTTATTTGGTATAAAAAACCTTTAAAAAAATACTAAATAATATTAAGTAATATATGCTCAATAAACGTTTTGCGAAATTGTGGAAACAATTTCATCAGAGCCGTAGTGGCAGCGGCGGTATTTGACCAAAACAACACTGCTTACTCGACGCAAACAAAACAAAAGCAACAACACATACAAGTATGGGGCGACGCTGCTGCGTAGCTGGCTGCAATTCAACAACACGTCTACCGGAGCACCACGGTGTCACTTACCATTCGTTTCCATTGGATAGCACAATCCGTTCGATTTGGTTACGTAACAGCCGTTTCAGCAACGAGCGACAAATAACAAAAAGCGTTTTGGTGTGCTCGCGCCATTTCCGACGTGCCGATTTTCAACCACAACGCAGTGGCAAATATCTTCTGAAGCCGCGTGTATTTCCAACAGTTTTTCCATGGGGCAGAGTAGACGCCGCGCAAATAGAAGCTGATCTTGAGACAGTGAAAAAGATTAAGCCATCGCAGCATACAAATGCGACCTCAGATAGTGCACCAACCGCTGAAGATGCTACCAAAGCAACCGTTGAGGCAACAGTGGCACAAATTTTAAAGGAGACGGCCACACTTAATGCCGCTGCAGCAGCAGAAAATAAAAATGTTTTAAACAAAGATGAAAGTGCAAGTACATTGGGCGCAGCTATAAAATTCGAACCGGTCACTGAATTCGTTTCGGGAGCGCGCATTGAAGCACAAGACTTTGATGGTAACTGGCATACCGCGCGTGTAGTTGAAGTTGACAATGATGATCGTGAGGTGTTGATTAAATTTGAACGCACTGGGAAAATCAAGTCTGCTGTTGTTGGTGCTGAAGAATGGATATCAATGAACTCCACGCGTTTACGTCAACGGGCAACAAGTAAACCAGTTCCAGTATTTGAATTGGAAGAAAAATGTTTAGCACGTTGGTCTGGTCCGCGAAAATTTCCGGGCACAATCAAAAAAGTACTTGGCAATAACGCCTATGAGGTGTTGTTTGACGACGGTTATGTCAAGAATGTGCGAGCTGTGCATATGGTTAAATTAGTAGCAAGTCCTGCCGTTGCTGAAAACGATGTAAAAGCGAGACGTAGCGAGTTAGCTACAACTCAAACCATTACAGCAACTTCGACACCAGTCAAAGCGTTGTCCACAGATAAAATATCTAAAGAGGACCCAGCTGAGAAACCCGTCGAAGCAGTAAGACGCTCTACTTCTGCACAAGTTAAGGATTGGCCACTACTTGATATGTCTAAAATTGATTTGGGTAAACTTAAAACACAGAAAAATTGAATTCATTTAATTTCTAATAAAATTATTTTAGCTTCTCTTAACCTACCACAAATACCGCGCGACGGTGAGTGGACCTGTCACTGGGTGAATGATCAACCAATTGGACGTGAAGGTTTTCTAATAGTAGGGGAACATCGCAAGCCCACAGTAATTGTAGACGATTGGCGTTTGCCTTCTGGTTGGGTAAAGCACATGTATCAACGTTCGAATTTATTGGGCAAGTGGGATGTCATACTTGTCTCACCCATCGGCAAGCGTTTCCGTTCGAAAGCGGATTTGAAACAATTTTTGGAAGAAAAAGGACAAGTTTATAATCCCGATATATATGATTTCAGCATACACAGACGTCGTGCTAAAGGTAAACGGTTTTACCTGTTTTTGTATAATTTATTTGACGATATTTTTTACATTATTGTAGATATAAATGCTTATGCCTTTACGCCTGGTTACACACCTCATCAACCATACAAAACAAAAGTGAACACTTCAGCTAATGCAAGTGCTAGCAACACTTCGGATTTGTTGTCAACCTCCGTGACTACTCCAAGTGCTGCACAGTATATTGAAACACCGGTAGCTGGTGCAGCACCACCCGCTGAGCTACTTAACGCAACGGTTGATATAAAATCGGAAACTGAAGAAAAAAAACCAGATTTATCTACACTAGGACTAAGTTCTGATTCACCTAAAAGGAGCACAATTTTGGAAGATGGTTACGGTATGCGATGGTAGTTGTTATTTTATTGTTTATAATAATTTTTTGTGAAATTGCAGCTTACGTTGGTGGTTTAAAAGTGCAAATTGTTGATAATCTATTTCGTTGTCCTGAAGTGGGCTGTTCCAAGAACTTTCGAAAGGAAAACCATTTACAAATACATATCAAACATTATCATCAAAATTTAACAAAGTAAGTATATTTTGTAGATCTCTTTTTTATGGAATAAGCAAAAAGGGGTGTTAAAAATGACTATACTTAGCCTGGGTCCAGGTGAAGAAACATTGTCAACTCTATGAGATGCAGTCACATATCAATATTGACTTAATTTTTGTGTGTATATGTGCTAGGGCAGGCGAACAGATGTGCAATATTAAGGGGAGTAGTATTGGAGCTGTAGCATACATATATTGCATACTTAGTTCATCTACAGAACTAGCCTTTTAAAGAAGCCTTTTAAAAATCATATGGTTTTGCAGTTATATATGTAGGGTTGAAACCTGTTGTCAATATTTGGCCACATATTATCTCCGATGTGGTAGATGTTGATGTATTTTTATACAAAAAGAGGAATTGAATTATACAACGTGAAGAGAGTGTTCTATTACTTGTGGTATCATTTGGATGTAAATCTATATAATTAAGCAAACGCCTATCAGTAGCATTAAATATATCACATCGTCCTGAACACTTCTAATTAATTTTATCTGTAAGGATCACATATGTGTGAATGAAATGTATGCAAAAAATTTTAATGTTTCAAAATGTTTTACAGTGTATGCACATGTATGCATTTTTCATTAAAATATAAAATATGCTGTATGCGAATGCTTGACCATGAAATGGTCACTTTATAATCAAACTTGCACATTAACATAGTTGCATTTTAATTGCATCTTGTAGGTTATGGCGTCTTTACATGACACAAGGAATATTAAATTTGTTTTTGGTTTTCCTCATTCTGCTTGCTGCTTTTAAAACCTATTCACACAGCAAATCCAAATTTCAATAAAATGATGTTTCTCATTTTTGTTTTGAATTACTCATAATATCCCAACACAATTGTATTGTTAGTAAGATTTCTGGTACGGTGTGGTAAAGCAAATATAAAGTAGCTGTTGTTGCCAGTGATAGATTTTTTTTCGAAATACATTTTTATGAACCATTTTTATCAATACACTTTAAATTCACTAATCCGGACCCATTAAAATTGAGAACAATAGTTTTATTTAGACATTCGAATTACGGAAGTCATATTAAATATTCAGTCTATGTCTTATTATATATAATAAATAATAGTAATATAATATAATAATAGTACTATAATATAATAATAATAATATATAATGTGGCATATATTGTTATGCCAAATTGAATTGTTATATTTTTGAAACAATTGTTTGATACTAATGTTTACAGCGATCGATTTTTTATATATATAAATATATACGATATTAAATATACTTTTTCCCACAAATAGACACGGAATAGTCAATCTGATTCTATTGTTCTATTCGATTCTATTCATTCCTCTTATTTTATTCTATTCTATTCTTCTATTATATTCAATTCTTCTATTATATTCTATTGTTCTAGTAGATAGAAACGCCCAAAAATATTTTAGAAGATTTTATCTCTATCTGGGTTCATTTTAGATGTCTTGAAAGTAATGACGTTTTCGATTGTATCTGGATTCAATCTAGATTTACTCTCGATATGTCAAATTTTGTTGCCCAATCCAACATTTTTGTACTAGTATTACTAGACATTTATATTTTTCATAAAAACATATGAAATTAAAACACGCTTTATCTGTCAAATCATATAAAACAGCTGGTAATTTAAGGGTAATCTTGCTATTGCTCGTAAAATATCTAGAGTGTTGTAAATTATTCTTGAATGTTATGCATTTTGTCACAGATTTACCAATCGAAAATGAAAATTACACTAAAAGTTCATTAAAAGACCATTTCGTTTGAAGAAATGAGTCCTCCATTTTATCGAACACGTTATAAGGATACCTCCAGATAACCCCCATTTTATCGAAAACGTTATAAGGATATTGTGTATAAAACACCTTCATACTTTTTTTCATGAGATATGGCAATGTTGTGAAATATATTATTAATAATTCCGTTTTTTCAAATACATATTCATTGTTTTAAAATTTAGTGGCTTAGAGTTTTTAATCTGAATAATCAATGTCATTCAAAAATTGATTTATTTTTATTGAGCCGTGTTACCTTTTAAACGTCACGTAAAAGATACCGCGATTTTCGATAACTGTTGATTTGCTGTCATCAGTAAAATCTACACGGATTTATTAACTGAGTAAATAATTGTAATTTTGTAAAATTGTTTGTAAATATTTTTAAAATAACTGTTTAAAAAACAAAATATTTAAAATTTTTTGTAATAAAAATTACAGATTATTGGGTGCTTGCCCAAAAATGCAGGAATTAGCTGAGAAGCGTACACATACACTACCAGATCCCAATGAGCCACAGCCTAAGAACCAAATACCAAATCAGGAGTTTTTTGCAAAAATGCATCAGCAGGACATGCAAAATTCACGTTCCAGAGGTAAGAGCTCGTTTCCTGATTCACCTGATTTGATTGGAGATATTAAAAAGGAAACTACCATGGACTTGAAGCAAGAAATTAAAAATGAAATATCTGATACGGAAAACGTTACATTGGGTTCGATTAACATGGATACAACAATCAATACCACTGCAGATAGTTCAAGTATGTTGCCTTTAAGCTCTGCTGATGACTCGGCTCTAAATGTTTCGAATACTTCAACAAAGCGTTCCCGTTTCTCACCAACCAAACGAGTTTCTGGTGCGCGTAAAAGTAACCGGCAACGTACTACGCGTCGTTATTTGACAGCTGCTCATAGCAGCGGTGCAACTATTCCATCTACTCCTGTTACGTCTGATAATCATTTCGGAGTGTCGGATTTCGAAGAAACTCGTCATTCCTTTAATGCAACTCCGGATGCCAAATTATTAGAGACACGAAAACGCAAGATCATTGCCGCACCAGTTACGCCAATTGATTCGCCAATAACTGCTGATTCCGGTTCGTCTTCGATTCAACATATATCGGCAACGGATCCTGAAGCTATTAACCGTCCTGAATATATCAAAGAAAATGGACAGCTTATTAAAATTGTTCGCATGCGTCAGGAGGAAATTATAAACTGTGTATGTGGTTTTTATGAAGAAGACGGTCTTATGATTCAGTGTGAACTGTGTCTTTGCTGGCAACATGGTTCTTGTAATGAAATTTTCAAAGAATCTGAAGTTCCAGAGAAATATATTTGTTCTATATGCCGTAATCCACAACGTGCGCGTGAATCTATGCTTTACAAACACGATCAGGATTGGTTGTATGAAGGTAAACTACCCGTTGGCAATTATCACACTAACTCTGGAAGTATACCAAAGCGCTTTGATTATCTTAAGTTAACACACACACTTACTGGTAATTTGCTTGAGATAAAGGATTTTATACATTCCTTACGTCTTAAAACTAACGTGGCTGGGAATCGTTGTCATCCCAAGTTGTATTTATGGGCTAATAAGTGGGATGATGTTAAAGGCGATGCAGAAGGAAAGGTGAATACTGAAACTAAGCCTGGGGATGATGACAAAAATAATATTAAAGTTGTAGAAGGTTCAGTTAGTACCCCAGCTGTGGCAAATATACCAAACATCCCACAGCCAGAGGCAGCGATTGACACTGATGAATGTCAGCAAAGGTTATTGGAACATATTAAGGTGCAACAATCTAATATCGCTGCTCGCTTGGATTTGATTGAAGCAGACGTTGCTAGTAAGTTATCTATCTAAATATGATTTTATTTTTTATAAAACTTTAATTGTTTTTTTTTAGGAATTGAAAAAGAAGATGAGCTTGATGAGTTAAAGGGTTCCAATAGTAATTTTAATAAAGAAATACTAGCAACTTTCATAAAAGATATGGAGGCTGTAAGACAACTTGCTAAATTAAATTGTTTGGAGCACAAGAAAAAAGCAGTGGCAGTATTAAATGCACGCCCTTTATAAATTATTTAAAAACAACAAATGCTGAAAGAAAGATTTTGTAAAAGATAGAATATAACTATAAAGCCCCGTTAAAAAGAATATATGTGGATACCTCCGTTTTTAATTGAATGAATTATTCAGCATAAAAAATTAGTTGCGTTTGTAAACTCAAATTTTACCAACTGCTTTAGAACTCCAATGTCTTGTTCATATGAACGCATTAAAGAATTTAAATTTATCTATATATGATATACACATTATAGAGTACAACTTATAATCTTATGTAAATGTAAGTAAAATGATTTAGAATAGCTATTTTGTGTGTAATAAAATCGTGGAAATGTCTTCAACTAAATTGATTTTTAAGCTGACTGCGTTTTCGAAGATCTTTTGTTACACATAAAATTTTAAAATTTAAAAAGGGTTTCCGTATTTAAAAATAAATATAAAAGTAAAAATATTTCATTATTGTTTATATATCAAAACACTTGTTTTTAAAAAAAATGTATATAAAATAATTACAAGGCATGGCTCAATGGGTTGGGATGGAGAGAGTGATATGGTGCAAATTGGGAGTAGAAATAATTCAATAGATATGAGTGTTGTATAACCTGGGTCCGGTTGGAGGAATCTTACTATCTTAACGGAGTGGAGCCATAAATGAAAAAAGGCTCAATTTGGAGACAAGAGGCTCAATATTGTGTGATCAATTAGATATGCAAACAGATGTGGGAATAGATTTACAGTTGGGTTCGCAATGGGAATAAACGTAATAACTGTTTAGCAGGGAACTGCACGAGACTTATTTCACACCCAGAAATATCATTTTGTGGTATGTTATGAACCTTTTTGTTAGACAAGCGTGATTTTGAAGAGGATGTTGCCTCAGTATGAAACGTTGCGGAAAGCCATTATATATAGTCGTCCTCACTAATGTTCTGCGTATGTAACAAGAAAAGTGGGATTTTTTTTATTATGGCGAGCGTGCTCAGCATACTGTTAAGTATGACACCCCGGATTTTTGGTTTGTAGATAATTGATATTCTAAATTCACGAGTTGAAATGAGCTGGGGTTAGAAACACCTCCAGCAAGTTAAGAGGTTAACTGAGCCGACGAAATGTGGATATTTCTATATGTAAGATATTCTGCTACTGGAGTAGAAATAAGTATATTGAAAAAATTGTGTAATCATCTACATACGGTATGGTTCCGACGTTTTCTTGGCGTTCCAGAACTTTAGAAAAGTAGAGCTAGAAAACTATTAAAAAAACAAAACTGCTACGCTGGACCTCTTTTTTCAATTATTTGGCTTTAGGTATCTCATTTTATCTTTAAATCAACAAAAAAGTTCTACCCAGAAGTAGGTAACAATTTCATAGCTTCTTTAAAAGTTGTTAAGCAAAGTCATATTATACACCGTGTTAAAGGCCAATCAATACTTTTCGCTCAAAGCCAATCAATACTCTGCGCTCAAAGGTGTGCTTTTAGAGACGATCATGGGTTATTTGACATGTGATCTCACAGAGACCTTTGGCGGTGCTATAGCTTTAATTTACCTAGTTATGAAGTTAACGAATGTGAAGTTTTCAAGACGTCAGTTTATATGACATTTCAAATGTTTGGTAAAACAACAGATAATTCTATTTATCATAAAATACCATTGCAAACAAACAGAAAAAGCTGAAATCCATACTTCTACAAAGGTAGTAATTAGTTATGATAAGATACACACAATGCACAACAACAAAAACACAACTTCAATTCGATCACCAAACACTTCACACACAAAGAAGTGCAAATTTCTTCAATATTTTATCAGATGATATAAGATTTCTCGTATGTTTACTTGAAGAATCCAAAAATTAATAGGTCGTTACGTGTACCACCTATTATTACTTCGTCATGAATAATTAAATTCATTATTCTAGAAAAGGTAGATAAAAGGTTGGGTTAGGTTAGGTTATACTAGCGATTCAACGTGAATCCATTATTGGCCCATTATGTTAACGTATAGTGGAGAGACTCAGGTTTTAAAACCAGCTGAAACCTTTGGCAAAGCTTAGAATGTTATTTAGTAGAAGGTCTTGAAGTTGATCAATATCCTTAAGGAAGTGGGCTCCTAAAGTATTGAGTCGCCGTCGTGCATCAGCTGGGCAAAGACAAATCAGATGAAAACTACTTTTATCGTTTTCCCCACAGCTGCGAAAGATATCATTGAATGGGAGTTTGAATCTTGTAACACGGTTGCTTAATCTTTAACGACCTGTAAGTAAACCTACCATAAGATTGATATATCTACGGCACATCTCAATGAGAAAATTGGATTTTTTTTTATTGTAAAATTGTCAAATTGCATACAGATGCTTTTTTCGATCTTATATTAAAAAATTAAGCAGTTTGCCTGATGTTAATGATATGCCCAGATTGTTTAGCTGTTCCGAGTGAAATCTAGAAGCACCCCTTTTAGATAGCTTGCCTACTTTACAATTACCAAAAATATCACTCTGACCGGGAACCCAGATTACAGATGATCTGAAAGTCTATGGTATGAAGACTTCGGTAGGTGTTAAAATGATGGTCAGTCACCTTATCGAATATTAACAGGAAGACTATCAACTAATGTGGTGACCGGTGATCAATTGATCGCCTGCGAAAAATGGCATTTGTAATTATATTTAAAAAATTTTGAGAAAGTGTGTTCAGACATTACATCATTCTAACGAATATCGAAATAAACAATCAAATTTAGTAAGTATGTTGATAAGACAAAAATCATGTAAACGAAACATCATAATTAAATGGAAATTCATCTCTGATTCAACCATTTTTAATTTATATCCAATAATCTTTATTGTTGAATATAAATCTCAAATGGTTGAATCGGAGATGATTTCCATTTAATTATGTAGTTTCGTATACATGATTCTTAAAGAGTTTTTCAAACGGAAAATTGGGTAAATAGGAATTAATTCAACGAGTTCAATTACTAATGGGAATAAACATACTAGCGAAGGTCTTCAGTGTTTTCTTTGAACTTCGTCAATACATACGCTGTTAAGCGGTGCCATTGACAATTGATTGTGACATTCGTTTGTTATATCCACTTTAATTAACAATTAGAAAATGCTTTCCCAGCACAATCAATTTCCACAGGAAATTAAATTGCCATATAACTTTCAAGTAAAACTGCTGTAAATACGTTTGCGTGAATCGGTTAACATCCCATCTGAGACCAAACTACTGGCATTATGTGCTCCACGTTTTGTGGCTCTAAAAGTATGCAAAGCTTGCAGCGCCAACTGCATGGAATTTTACATAAAGGATACAACTATGTAAAAGCCATTGTCATACAAATGCTTTGGCGGTGCAGCAAATCGCTATTATGAGATAATTGCTGCAGGATGGAATTGAATTTGTAAAGCTTTTTGTGGTATAATTCAAAATTGTTTATATGCATCAGTAGATAGCAGTGCATATGGTGCCACAACGGATGTATAATACATGCACTGCAATTTCTAAAACCACCATAAAGACGCCATCTAATACTTAAAGTTTTATTTGAATCGTAGTAAAGGCACCTACTGCCTAATCCTATTTGGCAAATTTATTTTGATAGAATTTTCTCGTATCAATAAATTTCAATTTTTGAAATCGATATGTCCATGAATTGAAATTAGTTTGTCTCTATTTTTAGCTGTTAAAATATTTAATAACTCCAACTTCTCCAACAAAAAATTATTTTTTTAAATAAAATTTATTCTACAATTAAATTTAAATTATGTTTAAATTTCTATTGTAATAACCGTACACCAAAAGACTGGAATTCATTTATTTTAATTTGGTAATAACGTTTAAGTATGCTTCTAACAGCTGTAGGAATAAGTCCCCCATTTGTTCCTAATCTGGACTTATCAGGAATATTTCAAGTCACGATAACTGCTTTTGTTCTTTGCCATGTTTTCCTTTTATTTTTCCTTTGATTATGATTTATGGGAAATCATATAGAATGATGTGTCCCAAATAAGCTGTCTTGTGGAGCTTGTTATATAGCGGCACACCATTTTTGATACCGACTTAGAACTTCTACGTTTATAAGGTTTTCAATCCAATGTATCTTTAGTAAATTACAGTAACACCACATCCAAAATTTTCTATTTTCTATTTTGCTTAAAAGTATTTTCAGATTTCGCACTTTTACGGCTCAATTTGTATACTCCATTCAATAATCCAGATCATATATAAAATTTTTTTAGTAAAAATCATTGCAGATTTAAAGAAAGTATTTTTTTTGCTAATTCCACTCGACACTTTATTTCTTCTATAATTACTTTTTCCAAACTCTGTGCATAATCTAATCATCAATCCAAATATTTAAAACACTCTATACGTTCAGTTGGAGAATCGTTAGTCGTAACGAAGGTACCAAAATATTAACTTTGCGTTCTATTACTAGTTTTGTATTTATAAGATATGTGTGGAATCCTTTAGGGCTACTTTTTGATTTCCCACTTTATTAAATATTGCAAATCCTCCAAGTTTCCCAATTGACTAAATATTGCAAGTCCTTCATGTTCGTATGCATAAGTCTTTTGTATATTAATCCCAAAGATAAGTTGATGGGAATTTCAAAAACCAATTATCAAAAGTTACAAACACAATTCTTATATATATATACTTCAGAACTCCTTTTTAGTCCTTAAAGTAGTGTTTAAATATTGCTGTGAATCAAATATTGATGACTATATTCCTATAGACTACATATTATTTTCCGGATTTTCAGTATTAATCAAGAAGAGAATAGTAAATCACGGTATATGGAAAAATAGACAAAAAAACTTCTGTATGCATATATATAAAACGGAAGAAGGAATATATAAGAAAATTAAGTGAAAAAACATGAAAAGTAAGAAATACTTTCATTAAAAAAAATCCTTTACATTAAAAACAGAATCGGGTTTGAATGCTGTGCCAGATTGTTACGATACTCACATACCGTCCCATATTATAAGCCCAGTGTTGAGAGAAGAGGTACCGTCCCATATATAAG